TAATGTATGTTTTGATTACCAAAATATATCTTTTTCTTCATCCTTTGGCTTATAATTCTTTCTAAGTTTGTTGCCCAGATGGCTAACAAGTAGCAAATCAAACCTGAGGTACCATTTTTTTGCAATGAAAAAATTTTGGTATTATCCTCAATTATTCATTCATGTTAGACTAATGGTTAGTTATACTAATAGAAAATTAAGAAACCAATCTAGTTAATGTCAATTTCCAATGAATCTAGAGATTGCACCATCATAGATGTGGATGATCCAAATGAGAGCAATGACTTTAATGTGCCAATGTTTGTGCAACACATAAAAGCTATGCTAAAAGAGATTGATCGAATGATATGGAACCTCCTTTTAGTGATCTTTTTATTCAGAATAGCACTAATTTTGTCTCTTCTGCAAGAAGAAGATCAAATGGAAGATGTAGATGAGGAGCTTTTTTTGGACATTGACAATTTTGATAAAAGGAATCCGCTTGTAGTTGTTGAATACAGTGATGATTATACTAATTTTATAAGAGAGCTGAGGTGACTTCATGTTCAATTGCAACTTAAGATTGAGTAATTATTAATCTCTATTTGTTGGTTGATTTTCTAAACTTTTTCATTTAGTTTTTGTAGTGTACTGGTTATGTTTTTCCAAATTATATGGCCCAACAATATGACATTAATGAAAGAATGTGAGATATCCTGATTAACTAGCTGATAAATGTATGTAATTTTTTGTTTGATTTTTTGGATAATATTGTGATATTTGTTTTAAAATAGTAGTTTGAGAGTTTTGCATTTTTTTTTTTAGTCTAAAGGTTGTGTTGTTTAAGATTTGATTGTATAAATTATGATTGGAATTATTTTGTGTAGGAGTTTTTGAAGGTTGTTTACTGATTAGGTTCAAGGTGAGTGGAAAGTTTAATATTCTGTTTTGGTTGGATTTTTATGATAATATTATGATGTTTATTTTCAAAAAAAATTAAAGAAAAATTATATTAGTAAAAAGATCCATTTTCATTAAGTTTAAAGTCATGTTAATGTACTTTAAGTTTTGTGTACCAACATGAGCTGGCAAGACAAACATAGCCATAATATCTATTCTACTTGAGATATGTTCTTTAGCTAGATTTGTGTGGTCTTTTTTTTTTTTGAGGGAAGGGTTTTACATTTCATAATTTGGTGCAAAAATGCAAATGAATTATGGTTTTTGGATGGCTTTTGACATATTGGATGCAATTTTTTATTGATTTTGGTAGAAGTAAATAAAACATGATGTGTCTAAATAGTTGCAATTATGCTAGTATTTCTGTTGGTTTTGTATCCTCTTATGTGTGGTAGCTAAAATTCTTTTGTAACTCATCTAAGTTACTATTTGTTATAATTTTTTTATGCAATTTTTTAATTAAATTACCGTTAAATAATTAATTTATGTTAATTATTTATATCACTCTAAATTTAAACTCAATTACTTTAACAAATCGAGCGAAATTAGGCCACCAACACTAGTAAATATCATTGAAAAGACTCATCTTCTTTAAAACTAAATACACAAAAAGAAATTGTAATATTTTTCCAATAGGTGTCTCTAACCAAGGGTAACATAGAGTTGAAGTGAACCAATGACAAGCTTAAGCTTAAATAAAAAAAAATGAGAAAGAAAAATTAATTGAACTATTTAAATTCGATTTAGTTAAACTTTATTTGAATTGAAAGATGAAAAAAGTAAAGATGAAAATTTTGTTAATTTAATGATTAAGTTACAAAATAAGAAATTAATTGTGAAAATTAATCATTGAATTAATAAAGTATCTATCCTTACCTTTTTTTTTGGTCCTTTTTACCAGATAAAATTTTATGGTCAATTATAATTAACTATTCAACTAAAAGCTCAAAACTCAATTAAAACTTATAAATATTTTATTTTATTTATTTATGTTTATCATATTGAAGATGTTAACAAATTTTAATTAATTCATAAAATATTTAAAATCAATGTTAAATTACTCTAATTTGACTAAATTCATTATTCATTATTTAAAATAAGTTGAATTCAAACTTAGAAAATAAACAAATCCAATTTGATTATTCATCACAAGCACACTGAATTAGAATAACATCGTAACTCACAATAAATAATTACTTCGACTCCATTAATCCTTAAGGCTTTAGTATAAAAACCTTAACTCAAAGTAACACATTGGATTATATATTTTTATTAATATTTTATATATTTTAAATTTTTATAAAATAAAAATAATTTTTATATAAATTTATATAAATATATTAAAAATTATATAAAAATAATATATAAAAATAAAAATTTTAAATTTAAAAATTAATAAATTTTGATTTAAATTAAATCGATTTAAAAAAATCAAATTTTAAAAATTTATTATATTAAATGTTACACCAAAAAAACTCCTATTCAATTCACTTACATGAAATACGGCGGCCAAGATGGACGTGAACGACAGGTTTTAGATTTTTTTTATTTTGCATTATTAAATTAAAAATTAATTAAATAAACAAAAGGTTAGTGGCTTCCACAATCATTCGAATCACGATATCTTCGTGCAACAACCACCGCTAGATGCTGCGTGGTTGCCGATCAGCCGCCAGCTCCAACCTCCATTTTCTCGACACGTGTCGGTACACCTTTTAATTTGTAATAAAATTCTGCCGTGGTGTCTGCACTGCGAGGATTCCTTGTTGTGGCTGAAAATTGAGACCCCCGTTGAATCTGTCGGTATAAAAGTTTCCAGCGTCACTAATAACTGTTGTGGGGCCCATCGTTTCCACTAACGGTCTGCTCTTTTTTACTGCATGCATAAATCTGTATCTAATAATAGTCATTTGAGTCTGCGTCCGCCGCTGTGTTTTGAACGTTGAAAATCATTACATCTACCATTTAAAATATTAAAAAAAATTAAAAAATTGATATAATTTAAAATTTTAATAAAAATTATATATATTTAATCAAATTAAAAATATATTTTATAATTTTAAATAAATATAAATTATCATATATAAATTTTTTTATAATCAATTTATGTTGCGGAAGCTATTTAAATTTTGTTGAAAATTAAATAATGGCAATGTTTCCTATTTTGTTTTTGTAGAACAGATAGCTTTTGCATTGATAAGGAAAAAGCTATAAAATTAAATTTAATAGTCTTCAAAATAAATAATCAAATATTAAAATATTTTTTATTAATTAATAATAAATTATATGATCTATTAATCCAAAATTAAATGATAAATTTTTAATTTCAATTCGACCTTCTGATAATTTTGAATAAAAAACTTTTTAATATATTTAAAAATAATTAATTAATAAAAAAATAATTAAAAAAATACTCCTAATGTATTTATTTGTAAAAACCATCATTTAATTATTATTATTATTATTATTTATTAGCAAATAAGAATTTGTCTGTGTGAATTGACAAACGGCCACGATTTCAATGATGAAGACGTGGTAAAATCGACACGTGGTGGTCTGATGATAGTCACTGGCAATTCATGGTAGAGGATTAGGCTTGTGGATCTCTGCTTTTAAATTGTGGGACTCACTTTTCGTTTGCAAGGCATAGATATTTTTTGCAGCAACCAACATGTATATGGTTAAATATTGATTGCCCTCCTTTTTAATTTATTTCTATACATACCCTCATAAATTTCACTTAATTTCAATCTAGGCCCATCAACTTCTTCAATTATTTTTCTTTCCCCTAAACATTAGGATTCATTTTATTTATGACCATCCTTTCTTTCTTTTTATTTTTTTTATGATTATCTTAGTCAAAGTTAATTCTTTCATTGTCCCAAATTGAATCACACTTGATTTACATTCACTTTAAGAAAATTTTCAATCTAAAAATATATACATTTGTATTTTAATTTTTTTATGATGATATTGATTTTAATGACTTTTCTAATGTCTAAAATAATAGTCATGAAAATATAAAATATTCTTTTTAAAAAAATAGAAAAAGAAATTTACGTGTTAAAAAAGCCAATTAAGGCATATTTGTAGTATATATATGTCTTATTATAAAATTGAATTGACTAAGATTCAATTTTCTTTTAAATGTTGAAAAAATATTATTTAGTTTACTTTTTAATTTGAATCGATAAGATAATCAGCCAAAAAAAATATTCATGAAAAAAAATTACAAGTATTAAAATTTAAACCTTAAATTTATCGTAATTATCTCTTAAAAGTAATTATATAAAATAATTGAATTAAATTTTAAATTTTTTAAAACCCATTAATATAAAATACTTTTTCTGTCATTATAATTAAAACTTAAAAAACAAGAATCCTAAAAATGTATATTTAGAAATACATATGCACATAGAAAATGGAATATTGGGGGTTTTTTTTTTAATACAAGAAGATATCCTAATGTAAGCTACTACAAAATATAAATATGATTTTTGTGATTTAAAAAAATCATTGATTTGTCGAAAGCAAGAATTATTAGAAAATCAAGGATAGTTTATTTATATACCTTCAAATTCAATATGCATCTTGAATGCATTCGGTAAAAAATAAAAAAAAGTTTAATGTCTTAATGTGATATTAACTTGTAAACAATCAACAAAATATATAATGAAATGATAAGACTAATTCAATAATATGGTGAATAAATTTATAGACCGACAATGCATGAAGTATAGACTTAGAAAGGGAAAAAAAAAAAAGGGGTCACCATTTTTTGAATTTAAGGAGGGTAAAATTATAAGACTGTTTAAAATGATGCAAAACACATAAATATAAGAGGCATGGAGGGTAAGACTGCAAATATGTAGACAAAGGAGGGAAGAAGAATGGAAAAGAAACAGAATGATATGGTTTTTGAGTTGTTCGAGGAAACAAGGCTATGCGGACAGCCCAATGAGCACCAAGAAACAAGAGGCAGAGCGTAATTACTCCATCAATAATCTAAATAAAAAAATAATTTGTTTCCTTTTTTTTTTAATTATTATTATATTATTATAAATATAAGAACCACGAAAACCACACAAATAACACTTTTCTATTTTATAAATCCAATGCATATCTCTCTCTTTTAATTCCATTTCTCTTAGTTTCTGTTCACCGCCTTTCTCTCTCCCGCAAAAATCGCTCACTTTCTCCTGTCCTTTCCTCACCTTTCCGTTTTCCTCCTCAAATCTCTCTCTCCCTGAGTCTCTCTCCTTTCTTTTCTTTTTCTTTCTCCATTCTCTCTGAAAGACCTAAAGAAATTAAAATGAAAACAGGCAAGTTATGCGAGCTTTGCGAGGAAGAAGCCAAGGTTTACTGTTCGGCGGACGCTGCTTTTCTTTGTCGGAACTGCGACAACAAGGTTCACCAAGCCAATTTTCTCGTAGCTCGTCATATCCGTCACGTTCTATGCAGAAAATGTAAATCTTTTTGCGGATTAGAACCCATTAGGGCTTCTCCATCAGAATCCCAATCCCACCATCTTTGCAAAACTTGTTCTGTTGAAGAAAACAACCACCCAATGCCTTCTTCAACTCTCTCATCGTCTTCTTCTGATTGTCTATCTACCAACGAATCTTCATCCACAGATTTCAAAACCAAAAGAATACTCGTAAGATCAAGATCAACCACGCCTATTCAATCTTCCTCCACCGCCTCTGTTCCCGAGCTTTCAAATACCAAAAGGTTGGAAAGTGTTTTCGTAATTTGGTGCAAGAAGCTAGGGCTGAACCAACACTCCGTTGTGCCTACGGCGACATCCGCCTTGCGGTTTTGTTTAGAGCGGTTGGCGATTCTGCCGTTTAGGCTGAGCTTGGCAGCGGCGTTTTGGATCGGGCTAAGGATGAGCGGGGACATGTCGGTTGCCACGTGGCAGAATCTGAGGAGGCTTGAGGAGCTGTCCGGTGTACCGGCCAAGCTGATCGTGTCAATGGAACCGAAACTGGCACGTGCCATGAGGTTGAGGAGGAGAATCAGACGGGACCTGAAAGAAGGATGGGCTGAGTGTAATGTTTGAATCGCACGTGTGACGGAATGAATAATTTCGTGTTTTTTTTTTTCTTAATTAGAAATAGTTTTCTCCTTTGATTAGATTAGTTTCTGGTATTAAGAGTAATGCCAAAAAAAAAATGAAAATTAAAAATTGCGAGACATTGAATATATTCCATATTAATTTCCTTGATTAGAAAAAAAAATACATTACGTATTAATCGGATATTGCCTCGTATTCAGCTACTTAATTTTTTTATATTTAAAATTATCAAATTTAAATTTTAATTATTGAAATTAAAAATATAAGTCTAATATTTTACAACAGTTCATGTGATAATTTTAATAAAAAATAAATAATAAAAAGTATCAATAAAATGAAACTAAAAAAAAAAAAACAGTTTTCTTCTATAAAAAAAAAAATCCATATATATTATATATTTTTCAATGTATTTGCCTTTTGATTAGGATTTTCTTTTTATGCTAAAGCTTTAATCAACATGATACATAAAAAAAAAAAAAAAAAAAAAAAAAAAAAAAAAAAAAACCATGTTTATTTATTTATTTATTAATTTTCAAATGAGAAAAGGACTTCGTTTGTGGGCATGGCAGCCAGGATATGTGTGAGTCGTTGTACAGCTTTTGAAAATTAAATTCTTACACGCTCTTAATTATACGGTATATATTGATGGCGAAAGTATAATTAATAACGATGGATGCTAGACATTGAAAATTTTCTAGGGAAAGTTTACGAAATTTTTTAATTTGAAGGATTTAATTAAAATTTTAATAAAAAATCTATATTGACAAATTAATAAAATTTAATGAGAAAATTAATAATACACAAAAAAAAATTAAAAATATAATTTATAATTCAAATATGATCAATATTTATTTAATGATAAAAATTTTGTCAAAATTTTTATTAAAAATAATTATTTAAAAGATATATCAAAATTTACTAAAATTTTTTAAAATTTTACACACTTAATCTTTATAATAAAATATATTAATTTATCGATTTTAATTTTAAATTTTAAATTTTATTTAATCATTTTTAATGAAAAACTTTAAGTTTTTCTAAGTAATTTCTTCTTAATCTTTCCTCTTACAATAGCCTTCAAAATCCCAACTCTTTAAAAAATAATAAATGTGGTAAAATTTTAAGTCTTAATGTGTTGTTCATTTTTAAAAAAGCTAATTTCATAAATGATTTTTAAATTATAATAAAATATTTAATATAATATTTAAACTTTAAATATCTTTAATATGATATATAAATTATAAATCTATTAACTAAAATGATATTTATTTTTAACATAATTAACTTTAAATAATGATATGTAGTAGGCATAACTCTTCAAGTATTATATTAATTAACATATTTATAATTCATGTATCATATTAAAAAATTTTAAAATTTAAATTCCATATTAAATATTTTATTATAATTTAAAAATCATTTATGACATTAACTTTTTTTAAAAAAAAAACTTCCTTAAAAAAATAATAATAAACAAATAAAAAAAATGAGTTTAACCACTTTCTTTTTACCCATGAATTAAAATAATACAATTGTGTGTGTTGCCTTTGTAAAAGAACAACAATGTATTTTAATTGCCTCTCCCAATTGATTATTTTCTTTATTTTTCTTTGTTATCTATAGTTGAGTGGTTGAGTAGTTGAGAAATGCAAACCTCTTATATGCATTGCCCTAACGAATTTCCTTCCAAATATTATACTTATCATCTGGCCCCCCCCAAAAAAAAAAGAATTGTAGCATTTTATGATTGATTTACATATGAGTCAAGATGAAATGACATTGCAACTAATGCCAACATACCCCAAACTCAACTACTTGATATGCTTTCTCTAGTTGTGAATAATTTGAACGCTTACTTTAAAAGTTAGAGAAAAAAAAGTTATTCTCCTAATTCATTTTGAATGAATTACATAACCAATGTAAGTCAATTGTTTTTGGTCAATGTCTAAACTTCAAATCAAGATCTTAAATTTTAATATCAAGAAATGGGTTATTAATTTGCTAAAAAAATGAGTTATTAATTATACATATGTATATATATATATATATATATATATATTAGTATATAAAAGTTTAAAGTAAGAGAAATTATCTCATTCCAACATTGGAACATTTTGAAAATTTAAATTAAATTTACATATCATCTATTTAAAGAAATTATTTATTAATGATGATTGAATTTAGGTCTTATAAGTAAATTAATATATATATATATATATATATATATATTACTTGTTAAATTTCATGGTATATATTCCCCAAAGGTATACCTTATGGTTAGAACTTAAAATTAAAAATTTAGAGGTATGGGATTCAAATCATGGGATGATCAATGTGAGAGATTTAAAATTAGGTCATCTTCTATTGCATATTCCAAAATTTACATATATAATTGAATGGTAATAGGAGCAAGGGCTCCCAAAAATTTGGAAAACCCTTTAGTTTGTTTTGGCCAAAGAGCAAGCTTTCATTTCACTGAAAAAGAGTGTACAAGATTAGTACCCAGAATCTTACAGAAACATAAAAACAAGCTACTATTTAAAGACAAAGATGAAATGTTAGATCTGTCACTATGAATAACATATATAAACTGTCCATGGTATATGGTTTCCTTGCGTATGCTTAATTTATCCAATATTTTCCACCGATAGGTCCACATTATGTATATAATTAAGTTGAAATGCTTCCTTTAATATACCCCAAAATAAAAGTGTTGAATAAATATTTTATCACATTAAATCGATCAAATGTGTATGTTAAAGTGGGTTGTCCTACATCTAATAAATTTTCAATATTCTTTAGTCTTATATTTAAATTGGGCCTTTTCATTTACTATCAATTAGTTTTAAGTTAGATGCTTAACATGATATCAGAATCAAAATTTTCTTCTGTTGTCATTTTCAAATTTGTCACATGATAGGTTTTTTTTGCCTTTGTCTACACGTGATGAGGGCCTGTCAAAATGAGTTATCTTGTATCTAATAAATTTTTAATATCTTATAATTTTATATTCAAGTTGAGTTCTTTCACTTACTGTTAATTGATTTTAAGTTGAATCCTTATTAATATCAACTAATTTAAAATGGAAATGAGCAAAATATGATATTGGTGATTTTCACCATTTTAAGTGATGCACTTGATAAAGACTTGAACAAAAGACATCTTTGTGAAAATTGATCATGTGATTTACAACTCTTGAAGGATGACCGAATTTTAAATCAACAAAAGATTACTTAAATCATTAAAATTAGAATTAGAAATGTTAAACAACAACATAAAATTAAATAAAGACAAATCTAATATATATGTAATCAAGTGAGATTAAGTAAAAGATAAAGCCTATTGAATTTAAAACTTCAAACATAAGAATGGTGCACAAAAATAAGCCAATGTGCTTGGCTTCATAGTGACTTTATTTGATTGATGGAATGATGCTTAAAGAGGAATAATACTCAAGGAGCTTACAAATACATTAACAAACAATACAAAATCTACTTACTGAAAGCAGTAATTGTTACAATATGGTTTTCAGAGAGTTTAGAACAAAAGTAGGAAAAAAGATAAAAACCAAGAGGATTGGATAAAAAAAATGCAAGTGCTATGTTTGATGTTATGTGTTGATTTGTTGGCTAATCACTTCTATTTACAGAGTTTTTAGTTTTATAGGTGTTAAAATGGGTTATTTCACATTTAATGAATATTTAATATTTTATAATTTTATATTTAAGTTGACTTTTCACTTATAATAAATTGGTTTAAGTTGGATTCTAAATATGGTATCAGAATTAGAACTTTCTTTCGGTTGTTCTTTCCTAATTTGTCACGTGTGTTTCTACCATTTTCGTTTACACGTGATAAAGGTTTATTAAAATGTGTTGTTTTATATCTAATAAATATATTCTTGATTTTAAGTTAAATGCTTACCAATAGAATTGTGTCATTATGTTCTTGCTTTCAAATATGTCCTCAGGTTTGCCACATTCTTATCTACCATTTTCCTAAGATTTTAGTTCAAGAAATCATCTTTCTCTTGAAATGCAGCAACTACCTTTACTTTCATTATTGTTTAGTAACTGATTTCAACAACTATCTCACTTTCATTGTATAGTAACTGATTTGTAGCCTCACATGACTTGATCTTCCAGGGTAATCATTTTCCTAGGAACCATTTACTTGAATTTTGGCTCAAGTAACCATTTCTGCCATCATATCACCAACTAACTCAAAATTTCTAGATTTTTGCCAACCATTTTTATTTTTAAATTGTCTATTTGCCATCGCTTGTTAGATTTTCAGTCATACTCTTTGAAAAAATGAACTCTTTGATAGTCATAGATTTGAGGAGAAAATCATGTGTAGATGCTTTCAATCATTCTTGTAGTCACTACTATATTATTTGATTACTTGGATCTTATAAATAGTTGCAAGATTTTGGCACTTGAAAATTAAAATTTGGACACTTATTAGATCTCTGGCCTTTAATAATCCCATCAAATGCCATGTGTCAATCATCCAATGATTGGTATATATTTAGCTTAACTAGAAATTGTGTTTATTTTTGTAATTATGATACATTTGATTGTTATTTACATTTTTACTTGCTCTTGGTTAAATATAAAAGAATAAGTTATTTGGTTAAAAAATGAGAAAATAAATGCAATACATAATTTATTCATTTAAAGTAAAATTATATTTTTATTTTTTAATGATTCTTAAAATTGCTACTTATTTACTTTTATATCCAAATTAATGCTCTTTTATTTCTAATTTCTCAAGAAAAACAACTTAATAAAATAAGATTAATAAAGCTGATATTGTGATGGATGGTTCAATATTTTTATTATTTCTGCTCTCAAAGCTGATACTGTGATAGATGGTTGTTCTTTAACAAGACGCCACAGTTCATCAGCAATCAAGCTTGCAGCTATATAGGGATGATCTTCACTAAGCTCAGACTGAAAACAACTATGTGGATCACTGTATTGAGTGATTTCAAATAGTTTGTGAGTATTACGCTTACATGCACATTGTTTCCACCCACATCCAGACTCCAAATATTTTTTGCACCTTAACAGCTTTGTTCCACTTCATATTATTGATTCCTTCTTATAGAATATAAGCTCATTGCTAATCTCTTCTTTGTCCTTGAAAATCATCCTTAGCATAATTTTTGATCTAGAGTGTAATGATTTCCATTTGGTTGAAGTGATCAACTGCTCACCATTGCATCATCTCCCCCCTTCCAAGTTAGTAAAACTCAAATTAGGTGCCTTATACGAAGCCTCACCATGTGAACTAGGTCTTGTTTGATAATTATGCTCTATTGTTGTATCTTGTGAAGGCATCCTCAACTGAGTAGCAAGGGTTGAATTTCCATTAATGTCAAATAAGTCTTCTTCATCTTCCTCTAACACGTTATCTATCAATTCCTCGTTAATATCATCTTCATTCATGATAGCATATGAGATAAACAATTAAAGTCTTCTATCACAATCATGGAAGGTATTGCATCCCAATCAATGCCTCTACCAACAAAATCCCCATCCATTTTATTTTTATATAAAAAATAAAGATAAATTGTAATTTAATTAGTCATATATAAAGGAATTCATTCATGAGTTATTATGAAAAAGTAGGCATCTAATTGCCTCAAACAATTTTGTCAATAACAAAATCCTAATCCCCCAATTAAGCCTAATTTCTTTGCAAAAAAGAAATAAGCTAGTAAGCCTACGACATATCAACCACACACAAAAAGCAATGAACATTCCAACTTTAGCTTTTCAAGCTTCTCCCACGATCCCACCTACCGAGTTTTGAGTTTTCCCTCTTTTGGGATGGTGCATTTTGGCAATGTCGTATCAACCCACCACAGGTCCACAACAATTCATCCAATGCCTGCAGTATTGTTGTGTTTTTGCATCATATTTCACATAATAGTTTTAATTTAGTCTTTAGTTTTTTAAAAAAATAAAAAAGATAAATAATTGTATATAAAAAATAAAAATAATTTAAAAAAGTTTTTCTCAGTTATTTGCTTCAATTATTTATTACAAAATTAAAGATTTATCATCTAATGAATATATAAATTAATTCATAAATAAATAATTTATTATTTATTAAGAGTCGAACGTGATTGGGACATTTTTAACTGCACTTGATCCAAAAGGTTGATCGGACCTTTAATTTTTTCGATATTTAATTTTTAATAGCATATCAATCAATAAATTTAATACTTAATTCTTTATTAGTGTTAAATTTTTTTAGTTCATCACAATCTTTTTCTTTTATGTCCAAAAATTATAATCCATTGTATTGTGATCATGTTTCATATTTATTATATTATATGTATATCAAACTTTAGGTTATATAAATAATAAAATAATAAGTAGTACAACAAATATGAAGAATTGAGGGCTTCAGGTGAGTGGGGAATGGGGGTTATGGCTATAGTTTGGTAGATGTTGGAAACAATAATGCTAGGGAGATTTGGTCCATTGGCTGATTTAATAAATTAGGTGGCCTGCTTCAAATGGATTCATTTTAGCCATTACTTTCTTTTTTCTTTTATTATTAATTATTACTCAATGATTCATAAATCATGGTTGCAGATGATTCTGGAATTTTTTTGTTGTTGTACCATTATATCTATTTTTTTATTGTTGAAATTAAAAAAAAAAAAAAGATTTGAGGTGGGTTCCAGCTAACCCCCTTTTTCTGTACTAAAATTTTTTCCCTTTTTTTTTTGGTTTGAAATTAATTCTACTGCTCAAATATAATTTTAAAAAAAATCGAGGTAAATAATTATTTAATTTCTCATATAAAAATAAAATATATCATATTTAATAATTTAAAATAAATTATTATAAATTATATATTTAAAATAATTTTAATAAATAATTATAAATAAAATTTAAATTTAAAATTTTTATTAAAAATAAATTTTAATTATTTGAGTCAAACTGATTACTGTTCAGATATAATTTACTACTTATCTTAGTAGCATTGAAATTTGCCCACACAAGAAATTTGTGGAGCTGTTTTGATGGAAGAAAAAAAGGGAAAACAAAGAAGTGGGGGAGCTGAATGATGACCATGAATTATATGATGTGCCAATACAATAGTACTAATGTACTTTCCGTTGGTTTTTATTTATTTTTTAAGGAATTATAAATACTAAAAAATTATAATTATATTCAAATAATTCCGAGGGATCTGTACAATATTCAACGGAACCCATTTCCTACGGTACGGAATAGGTCTAAAATAAACCCTTGCTTATCAATTAAAATTTTAAAAACTCCAATTGCCCTAATTGTACACTACAATTTGATGCCCCAATTGTGCAAAAAGCCAGTGGCTCCGATAAATGCAACTAATAATGGTGGTAGTTCATTTCATTGGTTTAACATGATTTGGATTTAATCATTTTTTTATTTAAATTTTTTAATTTTTGATAATCACTTTAAATTTTAATTAATTTAAAATTGAATTAAGTCAGATCTCATAAAATAAATATTTTCAGATTTATTTTTTTATTTATAAAATTTAAAATTAAAATTTTATTTAAAAAAATTAAATTTTTTATCACTCGAATCAATAAGTATTAGTAAAAGAAAATAAATTTTGATTGTATGTTTGGTAAAAAAGAACACCTAGAGAAAAGAAAATAAAAAGATTATTATTTTCCATACTTTTTCACAAATAAATCATTCCAAATTGAAAATATATGATGAAAGATACTTTAAAATCATGGTGATGTTGCAAACACTTTTAGTTTTAAACCCAATTAATAATTTGATTTTCTTTCAAGTCTTAACCTCAATTTCAAATCCCTCCTTTTTTCCATATAAATGAGCTCACAATGTGTTTCACTTAACAACAGTAGGATAGCAAGAAAAATAGTATGAAAAACTTACAGATTGACTGACCTGGGTGTCAAAAAGCCAATATATAACTATATCCAAGCCCATCGAGCATCTGGATTCCATCATGTTGATGTGACATTTTGCTGAGAACATTTTGAAGAGGTGTAATTACAGATATTTGGCCATCAAGAGCTGCCAATGTGGAAAGGAACAATATCATAAACTTGTGGAATTAGCAAAGTAACACTCCATGATGTTATATCATGGCCCAGATTGACTTCAAAATGGTATGGGGCCTATACGCCATGTTTCTTTTTTCTACTTTATTGTTGCTGATGGCACTGACTAGGTCTAACTCCTCTTTCTGCAGCAAGCTTGGTTAGAAGAACACCAAGTTTGATACCTTTGGGACCTGGCTTGACAGCATCAATGTCTCCCCAAGTAGAGCATAACTCCTCCTCACCTGTCAAAAACGGATCCAAATGTTTTGTTAGGTTATCCATGAACATCCCTAAAAATTAAAAAACAAGAAATTTTGAAAGAAAATTGTTTCTGGACATCCCAAAATTTTCTCTAGACATCCTTTTCATCGATAAAATTGATAACTAATCGGTCGTTAGGACACTTCTGAAAAGAAATCCTCAATTTGCCGCTGCTTGCCATGCTCTCATTCTTACCTTGACAAGAGGACCAGCTTCCAGGCACTATTTTATCAGGCAGGCGGAATAGGACATCTTCATCAATCTTGTTTAGCAGTGGATCACCTTCTTGTATTGGTTGTGCAAAAACTGCGTCACTACCAACCATTTGATTATAGTGTAAAGTGTCAAGGTTTTTGGGTTCTCCTTGCTTAGGGGTATTCCAAATAATGTACCTTAGATCATTGTCCAATGTTGTGTTTTGGAACTCAGGTGAGCTGCATATTACCGTGTGGAAGTAGGTTTCAAGAGGGTAAGCTACGTTGGTGAAGTACATTAATAACTTTCTTGGAATGTTATCCCATCCATCGACACAAAACTCCATAAAGAATCTTGAAAGAATCACCCAAGGTGAGCCTGCATATTAGGAAACATACAAGAACAAGCAAATTCACCAATAAGTCATCAGAAATTTTGTGTTAGCTAGATGTACATCCAAATAGAGGCGGATCCATGTGTAGTAGTAGGGCATCCATGGATAACCCCAAAAGATTGGAAAATAAAAAAATTTGAAGAAAAATTTTTAGATACTCCAAAATTTTTCCTGTCCTCAAAACTGGTGCATGTTGTGCTCTGTGAAATCATTCTCATCTAAAACTGACCTCCAAAAATCTTGAAAGCATCTGGTTTTCTAGTTTCTACAGCATAGTAAATTGGACTATTCCTTTGATAATATAAGTTGGGGTCCAAAACAATTCGGTTCATCTCTTCCCTCCTGCACAAAACAAGATTTCCATCAGAGAAGAAGCTAATAGATAGCATATAGATAAAGAGATTGCGCTGCAAAACAGAGGAGGATCTAAACTCAACAATTGAAAACAAAAAAAATTTGAAGGAAAAGTTTTCGCTTGACGTCCCAAAGGTAGGAAAATTAGAGCACCATAGTGGTTTAGGCTTACTCCTTCCAGCCTGGATTACTAGTATAATCAATAAAGTTGAGATCCCTTGGCAGGAAAGTGAAAGCATGGAGCAGATCTGCATCAAGAGCATTATCAGGAATTGGTTAAATGTATGCCCACAAGGGAGCAACTATTATCACTGCTAGTTAATTGCTTGAAAAATCTCAAACTTGAGGATAGTAGTCATCTCCATTGAATTATTATCTGATTAATGGTGTGGACTTTATGCAAAAATCGTTTCTCAGCATGTTCTGGACTGTGCTACATTGTTTGTTCCATAGGTATGTCTTAGCAATGTATATATTAACCAGAGAATGGTGATAGATTTAGGGGTGAGCAATTAATCAGTTCAACTAGTTGGTTGTAAAACCAAAAATCGATCTCCTTTAAAAGAATAATTGAACTGACTGACTTATATTTAATAGTCGAAAATAACTGAACCAACAAAAGGTCGGTCCATTTGTAAAAAAACTGCATTTTTTCACCATTTTTTTCCATCAATTTTGAAAAATAATTTTTGGTCCAAAACCAAACTAACCAAACCATTTAACCAAAATCAATCAATTTCGATCAATTAAATCAGTTTGAACCGACTTATGCTCATCCCTATATAGATTTATGATGCCCAAAATAACAGAGAATAAAACAGCAATAGTGTTTAGCTAATCCGAAAGCAGTCTACTATAGAACCTATTCCAAGTGGAAACATGTTTTTCAAAGATGAGATTGGCATTATCAGAAAAAAAATGGGATTGACATGATAAATATGGTTAGACTGAGGAGCAGTAAAACTCTTATTTAAATGCAATAAGTCAGCTGATAGCTTATAACAACACTGACTGAACTAAATTGGGTAATTGAGACATGCTGAAAAAGGCTGTAAGGAAAAACTAAATACTCTTTTAATGCAGAATATAAGCAGGAAAACTGCATGTAAGCACTTTACAGTAGTGAAATGAAAGCACCAACTTAAACGGTCCTTTTCAAAATATGTAGGTATACATGATTCTTTTAGATTAAAAGGTCATCCAACTTTGGAAAACATGAAAATTTCAAGTTTTGCGTTTTTCTAGGAGGCCGTAGCCTGGAAATAAAAGAAGAGGTTGCAGGTATTTGAATTTGAATTGTAGATCTGCTGAACTAATTGAACTAATCTCCAGGTTCAAGTTCTACACTTTGCAGGCAAAGTTTACCAGGAATCAGATAATTCTGATTGGTACTCCTAAAACACCATGACAACAAACCGGCAATGTTAAAGCCACGAGAAAAACTATAGTTGAAAGGATATACACCATATTAATATGTTAGATTGATGAAAATTAGCAGCAGTAGCACTTACCATCTTGAGTCATTAGGGGATAATCAGAGGCACTTAAAGGAATGAACCAATCCCAATCTGTATTAATCTTGAGAAACAAGGCAGCAGCATGAAGTGTTGCAGCCAGAGCTGAAGATCCCATCCTGTTAACTGCATAGCTTTCACCTTCAACGATAACATTTCCAAATGCTTGGAACACAGTTTGTGATTGAACAGAAAGAGCCAACTCAGCCCTTTCGTACTCAGATGAACCAGCATCAAGTTGCAACAAGTACTGGTTTCTTGGATGATATATTGCCTTTAGTAACCTTATCATTTTCTTACTATCTCCATTAGTACCACAAATCCAATAAGCAAGAACAGGAGGATAGCCATACCCTTTATATGGGAGTCTCAGTGTCACTGGTTTCTGAAACTTAAAAGTGGTAACAGAAATTTTATCTTGATGGTTTGATCTTGATAAGCCACCGAGCAATACTAAAGTCGTTGCACAAACAACCATCCAAAGACGATAACCTGAAAGCCAGGAAGACATTTTGGACATCCTCATTTGGACAGCTTTGGCTTGAACAATGTGGAGTGTTTTGCAATATCAGCATCTATAGCCTGAAGACTCGTTAAATCCGAATAGAACTGCACAGCGAAAGCGCCACTGATACCATCTTCAAACTAATAGAAATGAATACAGAACTTCAATACAAAGGCTTATCAGTGCACGTTAAAAGTTTGTGCTAGTCTGCTAGAACATCATTAGACACTATTCAGAATAACAAGAGATCCTTGAAACATGTTACTTTGAGTTAAAAAAAAAATGTTAAAGAGGGTTGATATAATAATTGCATATAATCAAGAAAAGAAGAAACCATTGATGATGGGAACATGTAAATGTCATTGCAATGATAAAAGACGTCACCTGCCAAACCCAACACCTGAAAAACTTAAAGTGAAAGAAAGCAAGTTGGTAGATTAGAATCCTTTCAAAACAAGCAAAGAAAGTTATCCATAAATGACAGCAAGAGACAGATTTAGGATTCTTTTTAGGAGCATCAACTTATAATATTTTTAAAAAACAATCACTAAATTTATCAATAAAAAAATATCAAAAAAACTTTGGGGTGTATAAAGTAAAATTTTTTTAAAAAATTTACTTATTTTTTAATATTTGAAGTGTCCATAGACACCTTTTTTCAAAAGATGAATCCGCCCTAATGACAGCCAGCCTTTTTGAAAGTGAGAGTGGCTAATGGTTACTAGAGACAGAGAGGCCAGGAGACCTTTTTTTATTTTTTATTTTTATCCGGTTGACTTGTGTTCTTCCTCGTTCCTACCACATTTTTTAACTTTGCATAATTTTATTTGTGGGGTTTTCATGGCCAATGGTCAGTAAGTTATTTCTTTTCTTCTCTGCTTGTTGCCTTCAGAAAAAGATGAGAATATGATAGGCTGAGCTGTAGCTTAATTATGTAGTAACCATATATGAATTTTTTTTTTTTTTTTGTGAACTTAAGGAGAATTTTTTTTGGTCTAAGACACGGGTAATCACTTTTTATTTCAACTAATTCAGAGTTGAGTCAAATCGAATCTTATAAAAAAGATAAATTCTTTCAAGTTTATTTTATTTATTTATAAAATTTAAAATCGAAATCTTACTTAAGAAAAATCGAACTCCTTATCACTCGATAAAATAAATTTTATTAACGAAATAAAACTCATTTAATGAAAATCTTTTTGGAACTAAAATTTTAATTTATAAATTAAGTAGGTATTATTAAGATTTATAAGGATAAAGTTTAAATTTAGTATACTTAATTATAGTGATGAATCAAATTTACCTTTTACGATTATACTTTTTAATTTGATTCAAAGATGATTAAAAGTTAACAATAAAAAATATTTCCTGAAAAAATAAAGGAATATTTCACACGATGTTCTGACTTTTGATAAAATTTTAACCAAATTAAAATAAATAATAGTAAAAATAAAGGAATCTTTTACATAATATATTAATTTTTAATAATATTTAATAAATTAGAAAATATAATAGTAAAATTGCACGTGTCTAAAATTGAAGGGTAAATTTTGTCCTTGTAAATTTAAACCTTATCCCATATATATAATATAAAATATTTAAAATGGCAATTAAAAGGATTTTTTGTCGGTTGAAATGTTTTTCAAGAATTGTACTTTTATTTTTATTGTCACATATATTGTACGTAAATATTTTTATTTATATTTAAACAATAGTTATATATTAAACATATATGTGGTTACATATAGAGGTACAACTATTGAAATTTATATACATACATTTATAATTTATAAATACAATTAAAATTATCCCCAACTAAAAATCGAACCAGATCATATATGTCCTTAAAAATGACTTAGGTAATTTAGCAAAAAATCTTTCTGCTTTACATGTAGAGAAATTTTATTTATACCCCGAAAATTACGTTTTACATCTTATTACTAAATACATTTCATGTTCAAAATTAAAGTTCTTACTTCTTTTAAATACACTCCATCTAACAAATTCATATTTCTTTTCATACCCTTAAACCATTCTTCATTCTTTCACTGTCACTCTCAATTCAAAATTAACCCTATATCCATCAAACTAACCCTAAAATCACAAATTTTTTTAGTTTTCCATTGATTATAGGTAAGGTTTCAAGATTTATTTCAATTGATTTGGTTTAAATCATACGAAAATAATATAGGATTTACAAATTGGGTTTAATATTTGAGTTTTTCAAAAATATATTTTCGAAAAGTTTTCAAGGCTCTCAGATATGCATTTTTGATAAACCCAAACTATATTGAATAAAAATTTCAAAATTTTTATTTGATTTTCGAAATTGATATTTCCTTATCTATCAATAAAGAAAGTTATTTTTTTGTTAGTAATGATTTATATTAAACGTATCTGTTGTCTATTCAAATTCGTGATAATCAGTAGTAAGAAGTATAGCATGAATCTTATTTATCCAAAATGGATTGGTGTTTTTTTTTTTTTTAAGTTTGGTTTATGCTTAAAGGTGAAAACAATTTTTTGATTCTTCTACGGTAGGGTCCATTTTTGGATATACATTTTCAAGAAGCTTTTAAGGTTATCTGAGTTTAAGGTTTACTAAATATATTCTGTAAGCTTACTAAGCTGTTTTTTGTTACAAATATAGCTTATACATAGGGTACAGGTGTTCCTAACAGACGTAAAGGTACTGAAACTGATCTCAATCCTAGTTGAAGGTGTTCGACTGCCTTCGAAAAGAGATGTCGAGTAAGGGATGGTGAGCCAGAGGATCGTGTAATATATGACATTCTTCAGGCTAAGCCTTCCACCCATTACAATGAAGTTATCGAACATGCCACACACAAACCTAATGATAGGGATGCAGATGATAGTATCACGATGCTCATGTAAATCGTGTGGAATCATTTCCTAGAGGTCTGATTGATACATCTATTATTTTGAGCTTTTGGATATCATGTTATATTACAAATATAGAATGGCCAGGTAATCACTTGAATCATATAATTTGAATCATTTAGTTTATATCTTTAGAATGAATTGGCTAATTGTTGTTGTTGATGTTATTGTTTATGTTGTTGATCTTTTTTTGTTGTTGTTATTGTTACAAGAGTGAGATATATTGAAATTGATTAATCATAAGCCAAATTTACAATAATGGAATCAAGACAATATATGCAGTCCAATGTTGTCTAGTCGGGGTTAGATTCACTCATCGACTACACCTATCATATGATCAATAACAGATAGTGTCGACTTTTGTTGTGAGGTGGCAGCCTTAGATAAACATGTTTCATATGTCATTCGGAGAGATGACCATCACACTAGATGATATATTTATCATTTTACACATATCGATCATTGGAACCATAGTTTTAGTGAATTATTTGTCAATTGATAAGGTAAACACACTATTGGTGAAGTTACTTAAAGTTTTTATCTATAACAGTAGTAGAGACTAATAAGTTCAGGGACTTTTAAAGTTGTTATAGGTGCATCAGAGGATGAGGTGATAATTTATGCATCTCGAGCTTTTCACTCCATTTGTTAGAGTATACGATATTTGTTAACAAAGACCATAACAGGAATGTTAGTAGCATACTTAACCCTACTAACCGACATTACTGCTATGGGTAGATATGCTTAGGGGACAGCTTGCCTCACTTACTTGTATAAGCAGCTTGGCATTGTGAGTAGGGTAAATGTTCATCAGATCGTTAGTTATCTGATACTTCTTCAGATATGTATTTGTAATTAGTCAAAAACATATTGTAATTATTTGTTTTACTTATTATTACTCATATATGTTATTATATGATTAAATATTACTCAAGTATTTCATGTAGGTATGAATTTATAACCACTTTCTATCATTAAGCCCAATAGAGATATTGACATACATAAACGATCTACCATGTACTTGATGATGAAAGGCTTGTACTTATGTTAATATGTTGCAAGCTTTATAAGAGCACTTGGATGTGTTGATAGTATCTTACGTGTGCTAAGAATCATATTTCAATCGACCGAAAGAACATCCATTACGTGATATTATATTTTTTACTAGATGTATCAAGTGCAGGACAATCATAAAGTCATATCATCCAAAAAGGGTTTTACGATAGTTAGAATTCATATAAACTATTCCTCTGACCTTGTTGGCCCTGTCCTATGCTGATTGAGGAATATCGTCTAACCTGTGCGATGTTGTATATAACTTTCTACATCAATATTGAAAAAGATGGGATATCCATGTTGTACTAGCTAAATGTCGAGGCTAGAGATGTCGAAGACCAGAAGAGTGTTCATCGAATTATGATGCCTGGTTTGCAGTAATTTCACACCTTCAATTTCAAAATCTAGAGTATAGATCTAGATTCTAGGCTCAACAAGTAGATGCTACACATATTAGTATTCAATAAGTTATAAATTTTATCATTTTATGGTTTTTGATTAATTTGTGAATTTTAATTATAGGTTATCAATACAAATAACCTCATTAATATTTTATACCAAGCTCGACCATATTATCTGTTATTGAGCATGTATTGTTTAGCGGATTAGATTAAAGTATTTATGTATAGAGAGATATAGTTATCAAAATAAATGTTTTATTATCTAGGTCATCAATTGTAGCAAGCAGTAGCAGTCTATCTAGACTAGCAGTATTATATTAGACATCGACTCTTGCACCATCATTTCATGTATTTAGACTGCTTAGATTGTCTAGGCCATTAGTGCCCAATCCATCCCCAATCTTATCGACACTGACACTTTCCAACTTGTTCATGCCTACTCCATCCCTAGTCCCATTGACATTAGCAACTTCAACTTGCTTATGCTTGCATCCTCCCCACCTCTAGCAATAGTGACTACAGCATCATCTTTGCCTATAAGCTCTCATTTCTCCCTCTAAGATGACAATATCAACCTTGCCAAAGAGTTTTACGTAAACAGCAGAGCCCACTTGTATATCTTTGAATCAAAAGGCATAGGAATAAAGATTGATGTATTGATACTATGTACTAATGCTTTATGTCATATTATTTTTATTTAGTTTAGTATGTTTGTATCATCCATTATAGTATGTTATATTTCTAAAATATCCATTAGATTACTTGTTCAATATAACACATCCAATTAGATAACATGTTTAATACACCAATCATCCATTAGACAACGTGTTTAATACATAAACCTTAACCAGTAATATAAACAGTTAACATATACATTAATATGATAAACAAGTACTATAAGAAATAATCAATCAACGTGTATTATTTCTTGAATTGCCATATCAAAACTTGTACTAAATAATAATTTGAAATCTTTAATGCAAGGTACAAATAAAATCTCTAACCCTTAAGCACAATTATATCGAATCATATGCCAATTGCTTGCAATAGAAGGTATTGGTGAGAATGGTTTTATTAACACCTGCATAAAATATGACTGTTATTTATATAATATCATTAACATTGGCATAAAATAAAAACAATAAATATAAATAATAAATGACAACACTAATTAACAGTACCTACAT